TAACTAAATAAATCTAGTCTCTGTGTGGTGATTTGGTTATACAGCTGTCTAGGATTAACAGCAGCTTTAATAAAAAGATATATCAATAATAAATATTAATTACCAAATACAAGAGGTGAGTCACAGTAAAATACTCTACATGGGGAAAAATATATAGGGCAACTGTATTAAATGAGGTGTATATTCCTAAAATCCTAAATAATTCAAAAATAGCATAATTCAAGACTAATTGTCTCACATACATAAAGCAGAAAGATGAATCATTCATTAGAGTTCACAAATTTATAACCAGAGCTACACACTGTAGTATGAGTTTTGGTTTTTGTTTTGTTTTGTTTTGTTTTAGATTTATTTATTTAATTATGTATACAATGTTCTGCCTGCATGCATACCTGAACGCCAGAAGAGGGCACCAGATCTCACTATAGATGGTTGTGAGCCACCCACCATGTGGTTGCTGGGAAATGAACTCGGGACCTCTGGAAGAGCAAGTAGAGCTCTTAACCTCTGAGCCATCTCCCCATCTCTCCGAGTTATGTTATATGACTTTGTTTTTGTTTTATTCCAGGGGTGAAATATGAGTCTGCTTCAGCTTGTCCACAGCTGTTAACTCTGATTGTCTCATGCACTAGCAGAGGCAAAATCTTGGCCAGCTGCAGCTAGTTTAATTCTGGAGACTCTGAGAGGGTATAAACACCAGAGCCCAGAGAGGGATGAGGTACTCTGAGAAAGAAAAAGGCAGCTGCTGCTCCCTACTGTTGCTCCTGGTTGCTGTTGTTGTGGTTTGACAAGAAGAAAAAGTTGGAGACATCCTGACTATGAAGTGGACTTAGCCCAAGGAACTATGTCAGTAATCAGTGGGACATAATCTAAAGAGACAGAGGATGTCCTGTTTTCTACATAGTGTTGAGCTGTTGGTTAGGGATTAGGGTCGATAAATATTGAAAGGGAGGTAAAGGTATAAGAGCCCAAACAAAATAACTAAAAAGTATATGCCAACAAGCGGTGCCTCTCCCTGGAATAGAAGCCAGAGACAGATGAGAAGCCTCAAGCATCTGAACTGGTAAGGTTTAGAAGGAAGCCGAATCTAAGAAAGTAAGTCTTAGGGAGAGATTTTGAGATTAAAGATTATTTTCTATGTTTAAAAAGATGGAAGACACAGTGACATAGTTCATCTGGATTCCATTTGAGTTTGTTTCTTTTAGCATACAAATAATTTTTTCAGTGATGATTATAGTTTTGTAAGTTTTGTATATCCTCTTTGGGACATATCAGGATAAGAAAGATTTGGAGAAGAGACTGAGAAATTAGATGCTAAATTAAATGCCAGAGAACAAAAGTTTTTGCCATAGAACAGAAATCTTTGAGAAATCCAATCTAGAACTTACAGTAATACCAAAAGAGGTAGTTCCAGATGAGAAAAATCCATAAAGGCTTGAAGAAATTGCAGAATGGCAGCACACTGAGATGCTGGATAAAAAAAGGCTTCAAGCTACAGGCCAACATGGTCAGACTGGATATTATATGTGTACTGTAAAGTACAATTATTGGATGAAGGTCTATTTGCTAAAGTAGAAATGCAGATCCTGTTTAGTGTTGCCTTGGAACAAGGTTATATACTGGCTTGTGTGCTCCATTTTGAGGAGTTTGGAGAACTGAAGTATATGCACCATGCCATAGATTCATATTCAGAATTTCAAGGGGCAACTTTTAAGTTCTGAAAGAACTGATTCTGTAATTATACATTCTTTAGAAGTTATGGCTATTATGGGAATGCCTGTACAAATTATGAGTGACAATGTACCAGCAGATGTCTCTAGTAAAATAAAGCAAATTCACATGTTGTAATATAAAGCATACCACACAATCCTACAAGCAGTTGTAGATAGATCCAACTGTACTTTAAAGGAGACGTTTAGCAAACAAAAAAGGGTAACAAAGACACCTAGAGATAAACTACATAGTGCTTTATTAACTCTAAATTTTCTGAATGCTAAAACAGCAGCTGAGGACATTGGATTATGGAAAGAAAACTGCTGAACCGAATCAGCCTGTTTATATTAAGGATGTCATAACCGCCAAATGGAAAGCAGGAAATGTGTTAAGCTGGGGAAGAGGTTATACATTTGTTTCTATAGGAAAAGAAAAACTGTGGATTCTGTCCAAATTGATAAAAATTAGATTTGACAGGTGAGATCTCCTGAAGGTCTTAGCTGTACAGAGAAGGAAAGAAATCAAGAAGACCAAACAGGACAGGTAACATCATTTGCTGATCCCTCCACATGGAAACAACTCTGAGACTGACTGAGAATGAAAATGTCTCCAGCCAGGACTTCAGCTATGCATGGCCAATAAAGCTTTGACTACAAAATGCTCAGAACTTATCATGCCATCCTTTTAAATGGGACAGATAAAATTTTATTTTATACCTTGGTTATACAGTCCAAACACACACAGAAATAGATATTCAAATGCTGATTTCTGTACCCCTCCATATCTGGTTGCAATCCTTGTGCTGAGAATCTCCTGTCTCAATGCTATATAAATACTGCTCCCCAGATGTTCCCTGATATGTCAGTAAAGCAGCTTACAGCCAATCACTAAGCAGGGAAAAGAATAGGGCTAGACTTCTTGCCCTCCAAGGGATGACACTTTGTAAGAAGAGGTAAGGGATTCAGCAATGGGCAGAGGTTTAGGAGACATAAGAGATAGGAGTTGGAAGAGAGAATGCCAGAAAGTACAAGTATTTCAGGGAGGATGCCAGTCTAGCCTAGAGGGTTAAGAATAGAGTAATACTGCTCAGGATTGTACCGTGAAGCTTGATAAACAAATAACAGAATAGAATCTCAATTATTTTAATGTTAGCTAAGTTAAGAAAGAAACTGAGAACAAACACAATTTTATAAAAATAACTTTAACAGGTTCTGGGGATCCAACTCAGATGGTCAAGCTTGCATGGCAAGCACCTTTACCTGCTTAGCCATTTTGCTGGTCTACTTACTTTCATTTCATTAAAAATAATTCATACAGGAATTGCCAAAGTTTTTCCACTTATTCTGTTAGACTTGCCTGGCTATAATTTCTCTAAGCTAGGCAAGTAGTTTGCCTAATTTACTATGCTGCTTTGGGGTTGAATATTATCTCTCAAAACTATGCAGGATACATTCTCCTAGTTTAACAGCATGAAATATCACAGCAGTGGTAGTGGTTTGGTAAAACTGTAGATTTTCATCATCTCTAACTTCTGTTCAAAGGGATTGCATGTGGGGCACACTTTCAGTCCTAGCAGCCCCATTTTATAGCACTTGAATGGCATTGCTATATAAAAAAGATTTTTAATTATATCAAGAGCAAATGGTCACCAAAATCATCAAACCATTAATCAAACATGTGATATTGACAAAAAGATGATAGTAATTTTATTCTCTGTTGAAGTGATGATTGGTGCTGAGCAGCATCAGCAAAGTATAACCTTGTAGCCTAACAGATCTCAAATTATGCATTCTTTGAAAAAAATTTTTTAATTTGGGGAAAGTTTTAATACCAGCACTCAGGAGACATAGACAGGCAGATCTCTGTGAGTTTGAGGCCAGCATGGTCTACAGAGCAAATACAGGACACCCAGGGCTCTAATACATAAACAAACAGTTTCAAAAAACAAAACAAAACAAATTGGGGGAAAGTTCACATTTTTCAAATTTGAGACATAAATTTGAGAGATTAAGAAAATACACACTTGGTACTATTTTCAGCCTTACACAGTTCAAAATCACAATGATACCACACTGAACTTTACAAAGACTTTTTAGTCTAAAATGAAAATACTTAAATATAGTAAAAAGAAATATAAGCAGCCAAAAAGAGTTAGCAAGCACTTAAACAAATTAAAGAGCCTTGTGGGGCTCTGCTGGGTAAGGCTGAAGTTGGTCATCTCTGGATAACCAATTATTTGTGCTTAGGCTATGATGATACACTCCTTTTTCTCAGCAGGGTTCTAAGTGTCTCCCCTGATCTGGATGATCTCAGGTCTTGTCAGAGCAGGCCAGACCCTTTCCTGATGAGGAAACTGCTCTAGCAAGCATCTAGGAATTCCTGGAAATGCCCCACCCTGCTAAGGATAGTCCAGCGGTGATCTTCAATTGTTGCGGAGATCCCCCTCCCCAGTAGGATAATTAAGTACTACATTTCCCTTCTTGTGATAGGGCCAAAAGTATCCCTGACTCCCTGACCCTAGGGAATCAAATGATTTCACCCTCGAAATCCCTCCCTCTGTCAAGGGTTTATGTTGCCCTTGATTTCACTTGAATAAAGGTACACAGGTTCTTACTCAGACTTCAGATGGCACCTCACCTGGCCTCCCCTCCAGCCCATGGGCCTGGGCCTTGGTGGGCCCGGGCTTCACCAGGCCTGTGTCTTGGCTGCAAGGCAACCAGGCATAGGCCTTGGCCCGCACCTCTGCTTTGCTCAGCACAGCAGCTTGACCAAGAGCTCTAACACTCTGGCATTACCATAGGCTTTGGAATGCCAAGCTTCCATTGCCACTGGAGATCTCATGCTACAGGAGCTAAACTGTAACATTCTGTGGAAAACCTTTTCCACATCCCAGCTTAGCCCACTCAGGCCTCACTCGAAGGCCCTCTAAATGCCCCTGAGAGAAATGAAACCCCTGTTCTCCATCCAGAAGCCAAGTTCCAGGACCCCAGTCATAATCCAGGCCCCTGCGAAATGGAGAACGACAGAATCTAAATTTAAACAGTAAGATAAATTAAGAGTACATCCTTATTAATGATCTAGAGTTCAACAATGTAATTTAAAACAATACATTACTAGTCAACCTTTTGAAAATAAGCTGTAAACAAAAAAGTACTTGTATAATGTATGTACATATATGCATATATTTGTACATATATATAGATATAGAGATATATATCTTAAATTATAACCAAAATGAAAACCTAAGTAAGTGGGATTATCAGGTAACATATTAACAATAAACTCACATTTCCAATGATTTCTGTTGCCTCTTTAGGACCCGACTCTGTTAGAAATCAAAACATACATCATCATTCCTGCAATATATATAAGTAAACACTGAAACTAAGGTATTTGTTTTTCTCTCATTTAGGTGTGTTGGGAGTCTGGACCAGAATTTCTTTAAAAAAAAAAAAAATTCCACCTGTGGTTCCTAATAGTGTAAGGATTGTCTACCTCAGGCCCCTTGCTATTTCATTAGAGTCCTGGTGACAAAGAAGCAACGAGTGGGACTGGCGAGATGGCAAGGTGGGTCAAGTGCCTGATATACAAGTATGAGGCCCTCGAGTTCAGATCCCCAGGCTTCACGTTTAAAAACAAAAACACCAAGCATGTCTCTATGCATCTGTAACCCCAGATGAGGCAGGAGGATTCCTGGAGTCCACTGACCATTCCAGCCTTGCTAATCTGTGAACTCCAGGTTCAGCGAAATCCTGTCTTAAAAACTAAGATGGATTAGGTAGGCTAAGGTGTTTGCCACCCAAACCTGACATACTTCCTCTTATAATATAAACAAAGGCATTACCAGTAAGACTCTTAGAAGTAGGCAGTATTTATTCTTAGCCAAATGCCTCTGTATCAAGTCATACCTGTTAAAACACGGTTAGTGGGCTGAAGAGCAGGTATTTTTGCCAATGACATCACACTGGTTATAACTGGTGTCGTAGCTATCCTTGGAGAAGGGAGTGTCTTCAAAACAGTTTGTGCCTTAGGAATAATTACTGATGCTGATTTTGGAAGCACAAATACTTAAAAAAAAAAAAAAAAAAAAAAAGAAAGAAAGAAAAAGAAAAAAGTGTAATGATAAGGATTAGCAAGGCCCCTGCAGCACAAGGAAGACATACAAATTTATGAATTGTTCCATAAAAATAAGAAAATAAATGCAGATTAAAATAAACAACAAAGTTAGATACAGTATAAATAAAAAGGTCACACAAGAAAAAAGCAGTACAAAGCTCCAACTTGTGTAATGTTAGCTTGGGTGGTTCTGGCAAAGTCAGTGTTCCCTGGGACCTAAAAAGAGCCCGATTCTGTAAAAATCAAGCTTCAAATGACAATCTAAAATCCATATCAGACATTCCCAAATCTAGTAATTTTAATATCTAACAGGTAAAATGCCAGGTATTATCAACTTTGGGATTAACGGAGTTTCTGTGAGCAGGTATAAAACCCTACACTTAGGATTGTTTCAAATAAAACTTTTAACATAACAGTTTTTAAATGTCAGTGCGAAAGCTGTCCCTCCATGTAGCACTGTTTTTTTCTTTTAAGTGAGCATACAAAATAAAAGGTTTCATTTTCAAATTCTCTATCATTGTATTTTGCTAATATTCATTTTCATGACCTCATTATCTTCCCATGTACTCATTCCTCTCCTTGTCCCCTTTCTTCTTGCAATAGTTCTTCTGCCAATGCATATGTGAAAGAAAACAGATATTTGTCTTTCTTTTTTCCCTCCCTCCGTTAGACTCATTCTTTCTTCCGATAGCATTGGTTTCCCGCAACTATGTTATAAAATGAATATTCCACTCTTAACCTGACTAGTCCTAGGGATGGGATGACTAACACAAAAGTTCAGAATAGAGGGAGTACACGGTAAGTAAGAGCCAAACTGCAAGAACCCAAGGCACGTGGCCCTTCAGGCTCTGATCAGAAAAGATGTATCAAGTTTTTCTGAATCAGAAAGTACTACTGAGAGGAGAGACTCAGAACATCCCACGCATCTAATCTTCTGAATTTTTTGACCACATTAGTTGTCCTACTTGTAATGGTACTGTATTTTTCAGAAAAAAATTTGCTACCCATGAAGAACTGAACTACTTTATTTTTTCTGAAATAATTAATGTGCTGCTCTTTTTTCTTTAGCTGTAAGCAAGTTCTACACCACCAACGGCCACCATATTAACATACTTACATGCTCTCCCTTTGTTTGCCCTCTTTTTAGTATTTATTTCTAGTTCTATTAACTGAGTAGTATGGATTCCTCAGTGTTACAAACATTCACATTAGTTTAATCAAAAGCAATCAGATTAAATTTTATATGAAATAACTATGCATTTATTTATTACTATCTTGCTTTAGTTATGCCAGCAAAAAAAACAGAATTTTTCTCTCATGGACTTCGTGATAGCTTTTTGTCAACTGGACACAAGCTAGAGTCATCTGGGAAGAGGGAACCTCAACTGAGAAAAATGCCTCCATCAGAGTGCCCTGTAGGCACGTCTGATTCACGTGGGCAGTGTCAACCCTGGGCAAGTAGTACTGGGCTGTATGAAAAAGCAGGCTAAGTGAGCAATGGAGGACACGCTGGTGCGTAGCACTGTCCTACGGTCTGTGCTCAGTCCCTGCCTTGAGCTCCTGCTGACTTCCCTCAGTGACGGAGGGTGTATGACCTGGCGGTGTGACGAAGTAAGTCCATTCCTCCCTGAGCTGTTCTGGTCACGGTGTTTACCACAGCAATAATAAAACAAAGCAGAACAGAGGGTCATTAAGGAGCCCTAAAGAAGGTTTTAAGGAAGTCCAGGAGGTACGAATGCAGGGAAACTCTGTTTTTCCACTGTGTATGCTGACATTATATCCTAAAGAGCCCAGTAACCAAGCTTAATTGTACCTTTTTTTTGTTGAATTGGGTCATTCATACTATACTGATGGCAAAACTTCAAGACACAAAACAGGTTACAGAAGTATTTGATGTTTCCTCTCCACTTCAAGGACTCATTTAGCTTACCCTGCTGGTTACAACCATCACACCTGGCTGTCTGAGAAGCAAAAGAAAAACAAGCAAGGATTAAAGTTAGAAAAGATAATACTAATCATAAACTAGAAACACTGGTATGTGAATTAGTGAAACTATAAAATGAAAGGATCCCTACTTAAAATCTGTTCTTAACTCATGTTAAAACAGATATTATTTGTTCCATAGAAGATGTCCTAACAACTGACTTTTTGTTTGTTTCTGTTTCTCTGCATAGCCTTGGCTGTCCTGGACTTGCTTTGTGGACCAGGCTGGCCTCAAACTCACAGAGATCTGCCAGTCTCTACAGATCCCTGAGTACTAGGATTAAAGGAAAAATTAACTTTTTAAAAGTTGTTCTTTTTTTTTTTTTTTCCAAAATTACTAATGAAGGAATGTAAAGACAGGATGCATTTTGTAAGAGTAAGAAAAGACATAGAAGAAAAGATAGAGCTTTGAAGATATAAAGACTGATTCGCTCAACAAAGAAAGTATCCTTCTCTCTCTCTTTTTTTGTTTGTTTTGTTTTTTTTTTCTTTCTTTTGGGTTCCTCTGTATAACAGAGCCCTGGCTGTCCTGGAACTCATTAGGTAGAACAGGCTGGCCTTGAACTCAGAGATCCATCTGCCTCTGCCTCCAGAGTGCTAGGGTTAAAGGCGTATGCTACTACGCCCAGCCTAAATACCCTTTTCTTAAGTACTGTGATTGGTCCTTTGCCATATAATGGTTAAAAATATATAATATTCCTCTGTGAGAAAATTACATTTAGAAGTGAGGTAGTTAAATAAATAATGATTTCACTAAAGTGCTGTGGATGCTATGTAGTTGTAGCTTCCTCAAGAACATGCTACTAACCTCTCTGGACTACACTCTTTCTATTTATAAACTGGCAATAGTACACCTAACTCTGGGACTGACACTGGGAATAAAGCAATCAACAATCGACCAGACTTGTATTATTGCTTATAAAATTTTACCCATTACTATAGTACTCTATGACTTCCAAAAATAGGAAAGTAGGGAAGACTAGAAGTTTGTCGCTTGATTTATGAATGGAGGACAAGGTCTAACTTTAAATTCTTCAGAGTAACCTGAATGAGTGAGCTACTTACGGCAAAATTATGTAAATATCTAACCTAAAAGCTACAAACAAGGTCATCATACTTTATGAGAAAACAAGAATAAGAAGGCACACAAATCCTTACTCAACAACAAAATGTATAGCTAGAAATACATTTCAGTGGTAGAGAATTATAGCAAGCATGAGGTTCTAAATTCAAGCCCCAATACCAACATAGTAAAGAAAAGACCTCCAGAAACCCTAACCTCCTAACACATTTTTCACATAATTTGAACATATTGTAAATTGAAATGATTAATATTTTTACTTCATAAAAACAAAGAACATGACCTATTTACCTGATAAAACAGAGCTGTAAACTTGGACATGCAATCTTCACAACAGAAAACCTGGACCTTGCCTTCCAGTTGGTTTTCCACCCAATTTGCAGATGTCTGTAAACAGTAACTGCACATCTTACAGTACTTTCCCCATCGTTCCCCAAAGTCTCGAGTAGAGAGGACCTTGCAAACTAACCATCAGAAAGGATGACAGGGAGAGACAAACGTATGTTAGCTTCAAGGAGGTATCTGTGGTGTCTGAGTGATTTCTAGCCAGGCATTACACTACAGGACTATAAGCCCAACACTTGGGAGATAGAAGCAGGAGGATCAGAAGTTCAAGGCCAGCCAGTCAAAGTAGCACACATCTTTGATCCCAGTATTCAGAGAGACAGAGGCAGCCCTGTCTCCAAGTTTGAGGCCAGCCTGGTTTACAAATCCAAAACAGTCAAGGCTACACAGAGAAACCCTGTGAAGAAGGAAAAGGAAGAAAAAGAAAGAGAGAAAGAGAGAGAGAAAGGGAGGGATAGATGGAGGAAAGGAGGAAGGAAGGAGGAAGGGAAGAAGGAAGGGAGGAAGGAAGGAAGGAAGGAAGGGAGGGAGGGAGGAAGGAAGGAAGGAAGGAAGGAAGGAAGGAAGGAAGGAAGGAAGGACGGACGGACGAGAGAGCCTGAAGAGATTGCTCAGCAGTTAAAGGCTCTTTCAAAAAACCTGGGTTTGATTTCCTGACATAATTGTTTACCTCTATATTATAGGATAGTCTCCACATTCACAAAACAAACTCTAATTAACATTTGAACATACTCTAAATATTAAATCATCCATACTCAGAAATGTCAAAGGCTTGAAAATTTTTTAAACCAAGCAGCAGAAACTATCTCAATTCCTACTTTACAAATAGGTAAAACAAAAAAATAAAAAATAAAAAAATCTGCCACACAGTTTTGGCGCACACCTTTAGTCCCGTACTTGGGAGGCAGAGGCAGGTGGGTCTCTGAGTTCCAGGCCAGCCAGGTCTACAGAGTGAGTCCAGGACAGCCAGTGCTACATACAGAAAAACCGCATCTCAAAAAAGACAAAAACCAAAAAAATTAAAAAATAAAAAGTCTGATGTCCTAGCTAAATTTACAAGACTTTTGTCTACTAACGCCATTAATTTAATTATAATTTTTCTTTATTGAGATTACTAAAATGCTGAAAAGATAAAGATAAATCTTAAAGTGTACAAAATATAAATTCAATTTTTTAAGAATGTTCAAGCAGCTAGACAGTGGTAGTGCATGCCTTTAATCCTAGCAATTGAAAAGTCGATGCTGGTGGATCTCTAAGAGTTCCAGGCCAGCCTGGTTTACAGAATGAGTTCCAGGACATTCAAGGTTACACAGAGAAACCCTGTCTCAGACAAAAAAAAAGTTTTTGAAAATCAAAACTCAAAACTCATCATGAGAACGAACTCCACTACATACTATGAGCAACAAGGAACGTGTTTTTTACCTTCACTACAGAATGGCTTGTCAACCCCTGAGAATCGTACAATGTCCTTTATGATTTTCTGTAGCTTGCAGTAGTCACACAATGCCTTTACTTTATTTCTCCTTTTGTATTCATCAGAGCAAGTCTTGCCACAAAACAGAAACATTCTACCCTGCAAAAAACAAGCAAACAGGGGGCTGGAGAGATGGCTCAGAGGTTAAAAGCACTGGCTGCTCTTTCAAAGGTCCGAGGTTCAATTCCAGCAACCACATGGTAGCTCACAACCATCTATGAGATCTGGTGCCCTCTTCTGGCCTGTAGGCGTAAATGCAGACAGAACACTGTATACATAATAAATCTTTAAACAGGCATTAAAACATGGCTCACTGGTTAGAAGAGTGCTCTGCTCTTGCAGAGGCCTGAACTCAGCACCCGTGTCAGGCTACCCACAACTGCCCATAACTCCAGGCTATACAAGGGGATCCAATGCCTGTGGCTTCCACAGGCACTCATGCTCACATGTACATATCCACACACCTCCACACAAATTCATATAAACAGCAGCGCTCTCTTTAACAAGTCTTTTTCCAGACCAGTGAGATGGCTCAGCAGGTCAAGGCACCTGTCGCCAAGCCTGACAACCCAAGCTCCATCCCAGGACCCATGTGATAGAAAGAGAAAACCAACTCTTGCCAACAGAACTCCACAGGCACAACACAGAATACCCATAATCTGTGAATACACAATTATACACAAAATAAAATGTATATTTTTAAGTCAGCACAAACTGAGGAACTGCCAAAGACAAAAAAAACGCAAATGCTCTTACTGGATGGTTTCACACGGCCCCTTTACCTTGTAGAAAAGCAGCTCTGGTTTTGTGGCAAACAGAAGGTTACACTGCTGGCACTTGAGTTTCATGCATGAGTGGGTCAAAGCAGTGTGCTGGGACAGCTCAGCAAGAGTCTCCAGAGCAGCAGGCGGGCGGCTACTGGGGCTGCTGGAGGAAGAGGCAGGAGCCCCTTTTCCTGCTGACGCTGCAGACTGCAAGGGGGTGCGCATCACTTCTTGACCCTCAGATATAGGCACCAATGAAGAGGTTCTTCTCTTTGGCTTGTTAAATACATTCTGGATGAATACAAAGCAAAGATTTTACCAGGTAAGAAATAATGTAACAAAATTGTTTTAATTTTCTCATTTTAATATTCATTCCACAAACATTTATTTACTTCTAAGAAAAAGAAGTTTCAGTGGCATACCTTCCAGAGCAGAAGGGTTAAAAATTGAAACACTCAAAGGTGACAGACTAGAGCAAAAGACTCCTACATATTTTCCGAGATGCCTTCCTCAAGCCCTGCGCATCTCACGAACCAATTCCCGATGGCTAGTATGACAGTGGACACACCAGGCAGCCTCAACCTAGGAAGGCCGAGAAACTCTACTCTTTCTGTATACTGCACAGAGCGGGCAGAAATGGAACAAGAAGGACCTAAACTCCATGCTAAGAATCAAGTTTCTGGCCCAGGACACAAGACGCATGTGAGCCCCAATAAGCTTTTGTTCTTCACCACTCCACCCCTCAAACCATATTTAGTTCCTATTCTTTCTTTTAAAGAGCCAAAATGAATGTACCTAGACTATAGTAGAAAACCCTGATTTTAAAAAAAAAAAAAAAGGAAAAGGGGAGAGCCAAGGTGAGAAAGGGGGAGGGGGAATATCTGAGTCAAGGACCATAAATAAGAAACCCCAACATCCAACATCTAGACTCAAACATTTGTACAAATGACCTTTGAAACACTACTTGAATAGACTGTAGGGTTTTGTTTGTTTTTTGTTTTTGTGTTGGTTTTTCAAGACAGGGTTTCTCAGCACAGCCTTGGCTATCCTGCACTCACTCTGTAGACCAGGCTGTCCTCAAACTCAGAGATCCACCTGCCTCTGCCTCCCAAGTACTGGGATTAAAGTTGAGGCATGAGCCACCACTTCCTGGCTCAAATGTAGGTTTGTTTTTTTTTTTTAAACCCTGCATTCAAAATCTTAACACTTTGGGGGGATGGGGTGGGGAGGTGAGGGAGTTGGGGTGGCACATGTTTTTAATCCCAGTACTCAGAAGACAGAGGCAGGTGGATCTCTGGAGTTCAAGGCCAGCCTGGTCTACAAAGTGGGTCTAGGATAGCCAAGGCTACACAGAGGAACCCTGTCTTGAAAAACTAAAAAAAATAAAACAAAACAAAAACACTTTAACACTAAACTGGCATCACATGCTTGTAATCCTGGAACTTGGGAGACAGAGGCAGGATGATGGCCTCATTTTTGAGGCCTGCCTGAACTTTTACATAGTGAGTTCTCAGCCTCTCTGGGCCATGAAGCAAGACTATTTCAAAAAAGAAAAAGAAAAAACAAAAACAAAAAAAATGAGCTGGTAAGATGACGCAGTCATGCTTTCAAACATATACCAAATAAATGTAATAGAAAACTAGGCTGGGCTGTGGTGGCACACACCTGTCATCTCAGCACTCAGGAAACAGGCAGGTGGATCTCTACGTTCAAAGCCAATCTGGTCTACAGAATAAGTCCAGGATAACCAGGGCTGCAAAGACAAACTCTGTCTTAAAGAAAGAGAGGAAGGAAGGAAGGAAGGAAGGAAGGAAGGAAGGAAGGAAGGAAGG